GCGTTGTACTGTGGCCGAGTGGGTTAGATCGCTGACTTTGTGTGCTGGCGATTAGGTGCCTCACTCTGGGAGTGTAGGTTCGAATCAAAAGTACGAGAATCTGTACTTAACGAAGAAAGCGTTATCCCAAGTATAACATTTGTTACATTTGACCACTTTCTAAATGACATTATGTGTTCATTTCCTTTTACAATTACTTCTTTTCCCAATTTACATCTTTACAAGTGAATGGGCACTGGTGTATGTTGAATATGCACTTGTGCAGACATACACTGTTTAAGTCCACGGGGTCTAGCAGAGGACAGTATTACGTATTGGAGAAAACACGCTTACGAGGTTTTGGTAGACAGAGCATGCCCTGGGGAGGGAAAAACCAAGGGGGCGAAGCTGTCCTTTCACCAGAGACTCTGAAGTGATGTCGCTTTTAAATATCCACGCGGAACTGTACACATGACATTTTAATTGAATTAAAATTTTGAATTGCTACTTGTTGTCATATTTTCAGTTACTTGGTTAAACCTGGTATTTGAGGTTTTACATTCAAAGTAAAACCTCCCGAACGAAAATAAAACCTCCTATTAGGTTTTACTTTGAAAGTAAAACCTCTTAATAGGTTTTACTTTGAAAGTAAAACCTCCTATTAGGTTTTACTTTGAAAGTAAAACCTCACAATAGGTTTTAATGCCTATAGAAAGAACTCTCTTACTAATTAGAGATCCCAATGAATGGGGTCATAAATTGGCGTCCTGACCTTTAAACAAAGGGCACAAGGCCCACACGTGAGCAGCACTCCTGCTGGAGAACTGACCAATGGAAACCTCAAGGAAGAAGATAGGAACAGCGCACAGCAGTATTCCACTAAAATATGGGATCAGGAAGGCACCTGTGAAACGAAACAAATAACAATAAGAGATAATATTCAACCATGTCATCGCGAATACACTTATCGTGATGACACCAATTGTGTAGATCGATGCTCATGATGTCAATCACTGGAATGTCTGGTCCAGACTCGATTATTAACAGAGCGCAATCGTAAAGCTGGAATATTGCTGAGTTAGGCATTAAACAACAAACACAATCACACATCATGATAAATGTTTTGAGTGAGATTTCTCCACAATCAGTATTATGTTCACAGACCATATTCTTCCCAAGTTTCGGGCCGCAAATAAGTATTTCATTCATATACAACTTGACAAGTCTTAAGCTAATTTGCTGTTTACATATGCCAAAATGTCTATAAGTGCTTTCTGAGAAATCAATATTTATGTATTTACAAAACTGATGACTGCCTATAGTTGATGGTAGGTAGCGTATGTTTTACCATTTGTGAAGTCATTTTCAATCAATTATGCTCAAGATGTGTTATAATTAATTACATCCATACATACCTCCTCCATTCCTGTTACAGAGGTAAGGAAATCTCCAAAATGTCCCCAACCCTACAGCAAAGCCGATCTGAGACAATATATACTCTCTTTTATTTGTCCAAACTTCTCGTTGTCCACGATCGCCTGCCTTTCGTCCTCTCCCTGACATGATGACCAAATGTTTCACGCACCTGTCACGATATTTTAAAACTTGAATTAGGAACAGCCAGTTAACTCGTTTTGTTTGTTTATACATTTGTGTTTGCTTCACGCATATTTCGGGGAGCAATCATTCACAGTATGACCACCTGTTAAGAAATGATGAGAATGTTTGTATTAATCGGGCTGGGACGAGTCCAAATGTACTACCCGGGTACCCATCACCCTATTACCCGACCCTACCCGGGTACCCACTGAAGGTCTCAGGAGATGTCTCAAAATGTCCGATTGGGAACATTTTCCATAGTCCTGGCAAAACGTATTTAGATACATGTATTAAACAATCTGGTCTTTCATACACTGAAGTTGAATTAAGTTATATATTTTTTCAACCATATGAAAAATCAGTAGGAATGGGTGCATATATTCAGAAAGAAATGCGAACATTAGTGACTTTACGGTAACCATAGAGTTCTAGATAATTTTTGTCATTAAACAATATATCATGTGACTAACCACGGGTCCGGGTAGTCCTGTGGGTACCCGGGTCCTACTCAGTACCCACCCGACCCGGGTACCCGAGTTACCCGTCCCAGCCCTACCTACTTACGAGGGCTGGCTGAAAAGTTCTAAGCCTAAGTGGGATATCTCAATCGGATTGAAACAAACTTTTGCCACCAACAAGTACAATCATTTAATGAATCATAGACATAAGAACTGCAACTGTAGTGTTATTATTGTCTTTGTACCAGACCATCTTGTGAACCTACCCATTGAAATCACCAGAAATGGACAAAACTGGCTATAGGGCAGTCATCAAGTACCTGCAACTGAAAGGGCTAACTCCAACACAGATACATGCTGACATGGTCTCCACTTGAGGGGATGATGCCCCTTCCTTTTCCACTGTAAAGAAGTGGGCTGCGGAATTCAAGCGTGGCAGAGAGAGCTTTGGCGATGAGGAAGGCCTTCAACAGCAACCATTCCGGGAAAAGAAAATTACCCGGGTGCATGACATGGTGATGGCTGATCGACGATTGACCACTCGACATATTGCCAGTGTTGTTGGCATCTCTCATGAGAGGGTTGAGCACATTATCACCAACGAGTTGGGAATGACAAAAGTTTCTGCAAGATGGGTGCCAAAGCTCTTGACAGCGGATCAGAAACGTGTGAGATTCCTGACGTCCCGTGACAATTTATGCCGTTTTGAAGCAGATCCCGATGATTTTTGGCCCGATTTGTAACCATGGATGAGCCCTGGATTCATCACTTTCAACCAGAAACCAAAATTCAGTCTAAACAATGGAAGCATCCGGAATCACCAGCCCCCCCCAAAACCAAGTCGGTTCCTTCTGCTTGAAAGGTGATGGCTTAAGTCTTTTGGGATTCCAAGGGTATTCTGCTGATTGACTATCATGAAAAAGGCCAGACTATCAATGGAAGACATTATGCTGACCTACTGAGACAGTTGCGTGAAGCTATCAAAGCAAAGCGACGGGGAATGCTCACTAAAGGAGTCCTGTTCCACCAAGACAATGTTCCTTCTTCACAAATCGGTGTTTGCCATGTCAGCGATCCATGATTGTGGCTTCGAACTCATTGACCATCCCCTTTATTCACCCGATTTGGCCCCGTCAGACTTACACCTGTTTCCCAAAATGAAAAAGGAACTAGCCGGTCGCCATTTTCCTAGTAATGATGACTGTGAATGACTTTTTTAGGATGGCTGAAGAAAATTTCTTCTTGACCGACATCCAGGCCTTGCAGCATCGCTGGCAAAAGTGTTTAAACCTGGAACGGGACTATGTGGAGAAATAAATGAAAACCATCGACTTGGTACGGGTACGGGTCTTTCGAAGTTAGGCTTAGAACTTTTCAGCCAGCCCTCGTATTAGGGGGTTGTCTTTGATTCAATATCTAGACTAACGTGTAACCCACACGAACATCACGACAACCCGTCTTATATGCAGTGAAAACAACTCTCCACTGGTCGCATACATGAAGCTCTTGGTTAAGACAACCCAATAGAAGGAATATATGCAGATGTATTTTGAAATATTTCTGTGCAGAGCAAATACGCCAAGTATCATCACTTCAAACTGCAAATATGTCTGAGCACAGTTTCAAACTGTATAATAATTTCGTACCAAATTTCCATTTTTCATTTTTTCATATTGTGATTTGGTTGGTTGGTTGGTTGGTTTGTTGTTTAAAGCCGCACTCAACAATAGGTCTTCAGCAACCCATGCTTGCCGTAAAAGGCGACTATGCTTGTCATAAGAGGCGACTAAAGGGATCGGGTGGTCAGGCTCGCTGACTTGATTGATGCATGTCATCGTATCTCAATTGCGTGGATCTATGCTAATGATGTCAATCACTGGACTGTCTGGTCCAGAGTCGAGTATTTTCAGACCGCCGTCATATACATGGAAAATTGCTGAATTTGGCGTTAAGCAACAAACAAACAAACAAAACTTATATGAGTCAACATTAGTATAGAGCTGACGAAGTAGTTACTTTACTTACTCACTCACTCACTCACATGTACTTACGTACGATTAACGTACTTAAACACCACAGCCTTCACTTGAATGTTCTCCAAGATCCTAACGTTCAGCTGTATCGTTAATATCAGCAAATGCTTGATAAAAGTGTCACAGTCTAGTATATGTAATTATTTATTTAACGCATTAATAAACTCATAGTCATGTAAATAGGTTCTTATATCTAGATATCGCTTTACATCATTATTGCCATTTCAGCAATTATAAACTAATTATTCATAAGGAATGGCATCGTTTTTACAAACATCATTTGAAACCTGTCAATGTGTATTTGAATAGAATATGAAATGCAGGTTAATACATGTATGAAAACCATCCAACAGGATTTACTAAACTGACGCTTATAAGAATAATAGACCAGTTCAATAATTGGTGGCACCATACATGGATAACTAGATCCATAAATGTCATGTAATCAATGTAAACATCTTCAAACTCTATTTTTATTCAAAGTTTCACATCTGAAATTCGCATTGTTAATAAACTATTGTTTATAACTGTCATATTTGGTCTACTTGTTCTTAAAATTCCCGGAGCGGTCGGGTAGCCCAGTGGTTAGTTAAAGCGTTCGCTTCTCACGCCGAAGACCCGAGTTCGATTCCCGACATGGGTACAATGTGTGAAGCCCATTTCTGGCGTCCCCCGCCGTTATATTGCTGGAATATTGCTAAAAGCGGCGTAAAACCACATTCACTCACCCACTCACTTAGAATTCCCGATATGTTGATACTTGATCAGTTTCAGTATTATTTAAATCCTGAAATGCATGACGTGTGTTGGGCATAGAAAACGAGAGAACGCCTACGTGCCCGTCATCGCATGCGGCTTGCGGCTTCATCCATGCCTGAATAGGTACGTGACTGCGCCCAATTACCGTTCAAAGACGCTGGTTATCAAATTCACTATGTAATCGCATAGTAGTAAAAAAATGGTGTAAGATGTAAAACAGGGCGAATGAATTGAAACCTATAGTGTTCATATTGTTTGAAATATGTCTGTGTTGGTTAAACATTTTTGTAAAATTAGTTTTTGTAAAATGAATTTGACTAACAAAGCGTTTGCCGACGTGATCAAAGTCTTCTTGTGTCGTTATAAGGGACCTAGGCTAACATCTTGTCTCTGAAATGCACATTTTTTACAGAAGAAAAAATATGAAATATAATGAAAAGCAGCCTAGAGACGACTTTCTTCGATACTGCAGTAATCTAGACTTGCCTAACATTATAGACTTGCCTGGGCTGTATTGCATATATTTGTTTCATGGCCTGTATGACAGACTATGGTGGACTCTTACCTTGAGTATGCCTATGTTTTTCACTTGAGACGAGTCTCTCCTTACTGTTCTGTCCAATTGTCTTCAGTTTGGCATTCTGTATCCTTTCACGTTGACTACGTCTCACCAACTCTGTAAATTCTGTAATACATACGCCTTATTTCGTTGTTGTCTGTTTATACAAAGCACTCCATATTGCTCAAATATTAGCAGAGCCCTAGCCAAGGTAATCCTTGTACTGAGTGTATTCTTGTAAAATCAATCTAGCGGTTGATAATTACTCTAAGTACACAGAAGGAACTCATTACAATTTCTTCACTTAGACTAGAAATTAAAACCAGATAACCTGTAAATATACACTGCCATTTAGAAAGTGGTCAAATGTATCAAATGTTATATTTGGGATCACTTTCTTAGTAAAGTACAGATTCTCGTTCTTTTTGGGATTGAGTCTCTTCCGGGATTCGAACCCACACCGCCAGAGTGAGGCAGCTAATCGCCAGCACACAAAGTCAGTGATCTAACCAACTCAGCCACCGAGGCTTCTACAAAAAGGAAAGTCCGACAACTGGTAGTCTAGATCACATACTTTGTGTACCCCTCTAACAAGTGTAAATTGGCACGGCTCCCATGGCCGAAAGCTATGAACACACAATGCCATATATGATAATAAATTGACATTGTCACTGTGCATATGAGCCCGTCATATGAGCCGACGTGCCCGTCATCGCAAGCGGCTTGCGGCTTCATCCATGCCTGAATAGGTACGTGACTGCGCCCAATTACCGTTCAAAGACGCTGGTTATCAAATTCACTATGTAATCGCATAGTAGTAAAAAAATGGTGTAAGATGTAAAACAGGGCGAATGAATTGAAACCTACAGTGTTCATATTGTTTGAAATATGCCTGTGTTGGTTAAACATTTTTGTAAAATTAGTTTTTGTAAAATGAATTTGACTAACAAAGCGTTTGCCGACGTGATCAAAGTCTTCTTGTGTCGTTATAAGGGACCTAGGCTAACATCTTGTCTCTGAAATGCACATTTTTTACAGAAGAAAAATTATGAAATATAATGAAAAGCAGCCTAGAGACGACTTTCTTCGATACTGCAGTAATCTAGACTTGCCTAACATTATAGACTTGTCTGGGCTGTATTGCATATATTTGTTTCATGGCCTGTATGACAGACTATGGCGGACTCTTACCTTGAGTATGCCTATGTTTTTCACTTGAGACGAGTCTCTCCTTACTGTTCTGTCCAATTGTCTTCAGTTTGGCATTCTGTATCCTTTCACGTTGACTACGTCTCACCAACTCTGTAAATTCTGTAATGTCTGTTTATACAAAACACTCCATATTGCTCAAATATTAGCAAAGCCCTAGCCAAGGTAATCCTTGTACAGAAGGGTTTTCTTGTAAAAGTCAAATGTATCAAATGTTATATTTGGGATCACTTTCTTAGTAAAGTACAGATTCTCGTTCTTTTTGGGATTGAGTCTCTTCCGGGATTCGAACCCACACTGCCAGAGTGAGGCAGCTAATCGCCAGCACACAAATTCAGTGATCTAACCCATTCAGCCACCGAGGCTTCTACAAAAAGGAAAGTCCGACAACTGGTAGTCTAGATCACGTACTTTGAGTACCCCTCTGACAAGTGTAAATTGGCACGGCTCCCATGGCCGAAAGCTATGAACACACAATGCCATATATGATAATAAATTGACATTGTCACTGTGCATATGAGCACAGTAGCCACATTGAAACAAACGCCAGAAAATTAAAACTGACTACTCACGTGGATTTCACGTCCAAAATAAAACATACAAACAAAGAAACAAACTGGAAATATCGACGTCACAATCAAATGACATCACTAATGGCTCTGCTACTGAAGTTGTTAGCAGTACTTTTTACACTTACGACACTGCTTATTACTGTCTGCAAACTGAAAAAGTTGGAAGAATGATGTTGGATGATAAATAAAATCTCACCCTCGTGTCTTTTGATATCAAATATAACAACACTCGTTGATATATTTGATATCAAACGACACGAGGGTGATATTCTCTATGTGTATGTACTAAACGGAGAAACAACAAACTGACTTTGAAGCGATTGATTCGCCATGATAAGCCGAAGTTTTGAACCACTTCTACTTTGACGCTCGTTAACGTAACGGGAGCTCTATAATAACTTCTTCAGTAGAAGACTTCCGACACAGATTAAACAGGTACCTAATTTCACCCCACATAACTGAAAAAATGATATCTTGAAGAACTCGCATGCGCGAACTAAAGGATGCAAGGCAATGGATCACTTTCTAAACATTCAAGAGATGATATGTCCAAGATGTATCAAAATGTAAACGTGAACCCGAATACGCCCATGGGACTACTTCTCAATAAAGTTAATTCGAGATCAGGTTGTATTTCTGTCATGGGGGAGAACCTATTGCCCAGATTGCCTTTTCTTTTGAAAACTATCTTTCCAAGTTTCGATCGTTAATGGTAGAGACCAAAGGATTCGTTTTCAGAAATAGACGGTGTGTTACTGCATGTGACACTGCAAAGACACTATCAAACTTCATGAGTAACCTCGGCAGAACATGTGGTTCGTTACAGTCGTATACTAACCATTCCAACACTACAACTGGGTGGACCATTCTAACCAAACACAACTCTTCTCCAGCACAAATATTGGCTCTCGCTTGTCATACCATGAGGTGAGGTGAAATTGGGTTTAACGTCGCGTCCAAGATTATTGCACTTATATAGCGACGTACATGCACGTGTGTGTGTGTGTGGCTGCTTGTACTAGACCGGACTGATGCCGATTTATAGTGCTAGCCCACTGAGATACCATGCCGCAGTTTAAAATGAATACCCCACTCAGACACAGTATACTGACTCCGAGCCGACCAGTCCTTGTTTTAGCCCCTTAATGCCGAGCGCCAGACAGGGTAACAACAAGTACCATCTTTTTACGTCTTTTGGTATGACGCGGCCGGGGATGGAACCCCGGACCTTCCGCTCTCCGGGCGGACGCTCTACCACTAGACCACGGAGGCGGTTGTCATACTATGAGAGTTCCCTGGATACATATTATCGTATTTCAGAAGAAGAAATATCACACGTGGGACACACTATAAAAATGCTGAATCTAACAAAATATTTACCCAAACGTCGGACAAACCAATGGGAGTGATGCCTCCTTTGCAAAGGGAGGTTGGTTGGTTGGTTTGTTGTTTGACGCCGCACTCAGCAATATTCCAGCTATATGACGGCGGTCTGTAAATAATCGACTCTGGACCAGACAGTCCAGTGATTGACATCATGAACATCGATCCACGCAATTGGGATCGATGTCATGCATAAACCAAGTCAGCGGGCCTGACCACCCGATCCCGTTAGTCGCCTCTTACGACAAGCATAGTCGCCTTTTACGGCAAGCATGGGTTGCTGAAGACCTATTCTACCCCGGATCTTCACGGGTCCTTGCAAAGGGAGGAAACCACGCTCAGACAAATGAGTGGGTTTCACGTAGGCCATCTGTCTGGAGACTTCGAAGATGTAAACTGCACACGTACTGACATACCAAGCCGCAGTTTAGGATATTTGATCGAAAAAAAGTTGTCATGTAAAAATATAATGATGCTTCAATCTGCGAAAACAAATTGTCTGCCACAAAAATACGTTCTTGCAAGGTGTTTTGTTTAGGTAAAAATATATCTAAACTCATAGTTTAATTATAAAATATCTGGTTTGGCAGCAGCGGCCAAAAACTCATACAAAGTCCCAGCCCGAAGCGACAACCGGATTCGTAAAGCCACAAGGAAACAATATGTGGAGCCTAGGCTTGGCGCCCCTGCTTTGATATTAATGGAATGTAGCATAATTTGGCAAAATAACTTACTCTCTCACTGACTCGTTTATTTAAGCAGGCTACGGTATATGCAGATAAAGTATTCAGCGTGGTAGGACATAATCTAGTTGATATTCAGAATAGCAACAGAGCCAGTGAAAAGAAACTCCAGTCTATCACAGGCAACCTGGGCTGATCTATTGACAATTCAGTGTCACCGGGAATTACCCAGATCGTCCGGATTTTAGACAAAAATTACACTTCCGTTACTAAAAATAACTTGGGAATTCCCTAGTTACGAGATATGAGTTGCTCTAAGAGTTTTCCTATACGTTAAGAGTTCGTTGACTCTTAGGAGAACTTTTAGGCTTATGTATATCTTAGTATCTAATATTAGCTGACCATCATCAATATCATGTTTAATCTTAGTTCAGTATTGGAGTATGGCAATTACGAATCTGGAATCTGGAGTTTGTTGATAGGTGTTTGCCCGTTGCATAGGTAAAACAGAGAGACACGATGTTCATTCCCTAAAGTAAATTATCTATGTAGTATTTGTAGTGATTGAGTGAGTGTGGTTATACGCCGCTTTAAGCAATATTCCAGCAATATCACGGCGGGGGACACCAGAAAAGGACTTCACACATTGTACCCATGACGGGAATCGACCCCGGGTCTTCGGCGTGACGAGCGAACGCTTTAACCACTAGGCTACCCGACCGTCCCTGTAGTATTTGTAAGCCAGGCATTTAGCATGCATTTAACAAGGATCTCGAAATATGTAAGTCAATATGTGTTTGCATGCTGTGAGACAACCGGTATTCCTATACGTAAACGGTATACGTGCGTCCCAGTTTGGTCGAATGGTGTGAATTGCTGAAAAAAACTGTCAGAAAGGATAGAAGCATTGTCCTTCACTGTTCCTTCAATTGTTTATCATGTAATGTTTTGTAAATGCAAGGTGAAATTTTACAAAGAACTATGGTACTACCATTGTGATATCCTTATATGGATCATGGTAGGTTTGGTACTATTCTTTGTGACCCGTAAAGATCCGGGGTAGGTCTTCAGCAACCCATGCTTGAGATGAACACACCCACAGGACTGATATCACGGACTAATACTTTGCCAGATACACGAACAAAGAATATCATTGTTTGTTTGTTGTTTAACGCCTCGCTCAGCAATGTTCCAGCTATATGACGGCGGTGTGTAAATAATCGAGTCTGGACCAGACAATCCAGTGATTGATATTACGAGCTTCGATCCACGCAACTGGAATACGATGACATGCATCAACCAAGTCAGCAAGCCTGACCACCCGATCCCGTTAGTCGCCTCTTACGACAAGCATAGTCGCCTTTTATGGCAAGCATGGGTTGCTGAAGACCTATTCTACCCCGGATCTTCACGGGTCGGATGGTCTAAGTGACATTTACATCAACCTCAACCAGGGCAACAGAATCTGAGCAATTACCCCAAGCTCTTGGTGGAAAAGGGGGCTGCCATTCCATATAGTTTCGTCCACAAGCTTCTCGGTTCCATGGACAAGGAGTGTGCTTGAGATGGGGAGACAACCGGAATATGCCAAGACGTTTCCGTTCACGTTTGATTGAACTGTGATTCTCGTTGGTATCTTCCAAACACACACATGTCGACCATAAAGCTTTTAAAGCATTGTAAAAGTCACAAAATCAATTTCCTGAAAACATGTGCGTTGGTATGTTTTGGAAAGTATGTAACTTCACTGTTTTCATTTAGTTCTGTAGTTTTGAACAATTCTGTATGTGACTCCGTTCTTCATCTTCCCGGGGCAAGTGAGTTAACTGACTATAAAAGTCCAGTTTCCACCCTTGCCGAACTAGGCTGGTATTATGGAGTAACATTTTGGCTGGACTAACGAGTCTATGCATAGTCCAATCAAATTCGCGCACCGAAGTCGAAATCCGGTTCATAAAGTGTCATGCAGATTTCGGTTGACTGCAGGATTTGCAAAGCATGTGCACCGCTAACTCGTTGTCAACAGATATTTTCTAAATCTTTTCATGTTTTTAATCAAGGTGCTCACGTGAATTGATGCACTTCGCGATGTAAGACTCGTTTTATCACAATATAGATCTTGATTATCGATCAGATCGTCTTGACTGGGCGCCACCGTTTTGTTTGAAGCAAATGCAAGTGATACGAGAGGTTGAATCTGATTGGTCAACAGGAGAGGCATAGAAAGGACATAACTCGTAATAGCCACTGCTGGCGCTACGATTGAGCCCAGGAATTCAAGCCTAGTTCGGCAAGGATGGAAACTGGACTTTTAAAGCCAGTTAACTCTCTTGCCTCGGGAAGATGCTGTTCTTATGTTTATGCTAAGGATCATTAAATAATTCCCTGTTGCCCTCATGAAAAAACGGTCTTTAAGTACTGGACACTTGCACATATTATGTTGTGATTATTAGTTTAGAAACGAAAATAGTGTTTAGTCTGCAACTTAGATATGACAATGAGAAAAACTGTATCGCCACAGTCTTACATGCTTAGACCGCCTCCGTGATCTAGTGGTAGAGCGTCCGTCCGGAGAGCGGACGGTCCGGGGTTCGATCCCCGACCGCGTCATACCAAAAGACGTTAAAAGATGGTACTAGTTGTTACCCTGTCTGGCGCTCGGCATTAAGGGGCTAATACAAGGACTGGTCGGCTCGGAGTCAGTATACTGTGTCTGAGTGGGGTATTCATGTTAAACTGCGGCATGGTATCTCAGTGAGCTAGCACTATAAATCGGCATCAGTCCGGACTAGTACAAGCAGCCACACAAACACACACACGTACGTGTACGTCGCTATATAAGTGCAATAATCTTGGACGCGACGTTAAACCCTATTTCACCTCACCATCTCTTACATGCTTTCCCTTTTCGTGGACACCTGGTGTCATCACTGATTTTCAGTGGTCCATGGATACAGCAGGAATATTGCAGAGTCCGGCGTTAAACAATCAAACAAAACGTTCGGTTATGACAGAACAAAATAAACTAATAGTTTCTGCTCTAGCTTTGCTCCAAGGCTCTACTTAACGGTAAGTCCATGGTGTATAGTAACACTTTCTTTATAATAGGCAAGTCTGGATACTAGACTAGGCGGATACTATATCTACGGACGCTAGTTTCTTAAAGGAACAACTTGTACTTATTATTTATATTATCAAGAAATAATTATTTAAACTAATACTTAATGCCTTAGAGACTTGTGCAAGTCTATTTCTGCTCGTAAAAA